CTCAACAACAGCGTCAACAGCAACAACAACAGCAGCAACAACAACAAGGCCAATCTGGAGGTGTGGGGGATGACGAAGACGGGGGTGGAGGGAGCGGAGGGCTGGAGGGGACGGACGCAGAGGCGAACGACGCTGTTCACCTCAAGAGACGGGTGGGACTCGTCAGTGGGGTGGCTCTAATCGTCGGCACGATGATCGGCTCCGGGATCTTCGTGTCGCCGTCGGGTCTGCTGTTGCGTACCGGCAGCGTCGGCATTAGTTTTGTCGTGTGGACCGCGTGCGGTCTGCTAAGTCTCTGCGGCGCTCTGGCCTATGCCGAGCTAGGCACCATGAACACGAGCAGCGGCGCCGAGTACGCATACTTCATGGATGCGTTCGGCGCCCCGCCTGCCTTCCTCTTCTCCTGGGTATCCACCCTGGTGCTCAAGCCGTCGCAGATGGCGATTATCTGTCTGTCGTTCGCCCAGTACACCGTCGAGGCGTTCACTGTCGACTGCGAGCCACCTGATCAAGTGGTCAAGATCGTCGCCCTGCTGGCGATCGTTCTGATACTTCTGATCAACTGCTATAGCGTCAACCTGGCTACTGGTGTGCAGAACGCTTTCACCGCCGCCAAACTAATGGCCATACTCGTGGTGATAATCGGCGGCTCGTACAAATTGATACAGGGTAATACACAGCATCTGCAAACGGCGTTTGACACCATCGATGGTAGTAGTATCAACATCGGTCGCCTCGCCACCGCTTTCTATACCGGCCTCTGGGCATACGACGGCTGGAACAATCTTAATTATGTAACCGAGGAGATCAAAAATCCTTCCAAGAATTTGCCTAGATCCATCATGATCGGCATACCGCTCGTTACGCTCTGCTACGCGCTCATCAATGTATCCTATCTAGCAGTCATGTCACCGTCAGAAATGATTGAGAGCGAGGCCGTAGCGGTGGTAAATATGATCAACACAAATTTATTTAGAGAATTACTCTCTCAGAGAAAAATCCCTTTTGAAAATGACGCGTAAAATGTAGAATCGATCTCATCAAACACCAATTAACAATGACATAATGTTATGTTAGTTATAATTTCTCAACAATATAATTATAATATATAACATATATTACAATTATATTGTTGAGTGGAAAATTATAACTAAATTATTGTTAATTGATGTTTGCTAAAGACATGAATTTTCTCGATATCGCTTTGCAAGTAGAGTTGAGTTATCGGAATTTAGAGAGAGACTTTGCTCCGATCAATTTGTTTCAATATTCTGATGATAGATCAAGGTATTTTTTTTCGCAGACATTCGGCAATCGGATTCTGGGCGTGATGGCATGGCTAATGCCGCTCTCCGTAGCGATCAGTACCTTCGGATCCGCTAATGGCACCCTGTTTGCTGCGGGTAGACTCTGCTTCGCCGCATCGCGAGAGGGTCATCTGCTCGACTGCTTGAGCTATGTGCACGTGCGACGCTTTACTCCTGCCCCAGGCCTCATCTTCCATTCCCTCGTAGCAGGTATCAAAACAGACCTGGATTAAATGGACTTGCTTTGAGAGATAACTAGCTTTCGCATTCACTAAAGTCAAATTGCTCATTTCTATTTGTTTTTTGTTTGTTTGCAAGCATTCGCTTGAGATTTGATTTCATCTAATCGCTCTGAATTTTTTAAATTGTTTTTTAAAAACATTTTTTCGATATAAATTTTCAGCTCGTCTTTTAGATATCTTCTAGGAGAAGAATTGTATCTAAATTTTCTTACATCATGAACGTATCCTCCCGACTATTTGAGATTTTATTTTATGTAACATACATATGTTGTTCTACTTTCAAGGCGAGACCATTGCTATATGGACTGTATCGACTTCAAGGTATCTAAATGTGTTGTAAGCCAAAATACTGATTTCGCAGGCGCGATGGTTCTCTCCGGTAACATCGATTCGCTGATTGACTTCTTCTCGTTTACTGCATGGATATTCTATGGCGGCTCGATGGTCGCCTTACTGGTGATGCGGAAGACCAGGCCCAATCATCCGCGTCCGTACAAATGCCCACTAATGATACCTATGCTCGTGCTCGTCATCTCCGCGTATCTCATAGTGGCGCCTATTATCGACAAGCCCCAGATCGAGTACCTGTACGCGGCTGGCTTTATCGGTGCGGGCATGCTCGTCTACCTCCCGTTCGTAAAATTTGGATATGTGCCCAAATTCATGGGTGGGTATAGATGTTGTTACACTGAAAATAAAGACTCGTCAACGAATGATTAAAAATTTTATATAGTGTCTTGTTACCAATTTTTATCAATATATTATAATATGAAATATTTAAACTTATTTTCAAAAAATAAATATCTTATTGATTAAAAAGAAAAAACAAGTAAAACTCCAAGATCCTTATTACAAATCTAAAATTCAAGATTTATTTATCATTTAAATCAATCTAATCAAGTTTCAAGAAATCTGAAATATTAAGCTTGCAGAAAGAAATATACATAGAAATAAACTTCTAAAAAGATCAATAAAATTAAGATCACAAATTAGTATCTCAAAAAGTATGAAAGTAAAATCAAAATTCAAAATCTTTTAAATCTCCCTTCAATTTAAAATAAAGATTTACCAAATATATAATCTTAAATTAAAATTCTTATTAAAATTTCTTTTCTCCGTTTTCTGCTAAATTTATTTTGACTAAATAATTTTAATTTTAAAAAATCGTTTTTTATTAAAGTTATTTCTACTAATTTCTGTTTGATCTTAAATTTATATTGTATGTTTTGTTTTCTAATTATAGAAGGTGTCAATGCCTTCCTGCAGATGTTACTAGAGGTGGCTCCAACGGCGGTTGCCTTCGACTGATTTCATTTCGAGAGATCAAGATACAGTTCTCCAGAATGCTGAATCATTCCATTATGGCATTGTGTGAACTGTATGAACACCTGAATATATCCTATTTTAAATACATGCAGACGAGAGCATTATATCCTATATATTACAAAGCTCAAGGCTG